TTACATTTAAGTCTTTGATCCATCTGGAGTTTGTTTTTGTGTATGGTGTGAGGTACAGATCTTGTTGCATTTTTCTGCAAATAGATCTCCAGTTTTGCCAGCACCATTTATTGAACAAACATTCTCTTCCCCATTTAATGGATTTTGGGCCTTTGTCAAAGATTAGCTGAGAAGCCAATCACTTTTGAGATATAAAAAGAGCAGATTAGGCACAGAAGCAAGCAAGCACAGATGGATGAAGATAGATGCCACATCCCTGAAGATTGATAGGGAACGAAGGAATAGAAGATGAATAGACAAGAACCTTCCTCCAGAACCAACAGAGAGAGAAAGCCTTCCCCTAGAGCTGTTGTTGTGTTGTTGTTGTTGTGTGCCATAGAGTCAGACCCAACTCATAGCGGCCCCTCCTTGGCTTGCTGAGGCATTATCACTATGAAAGTAGAGTGCCCCATCTTCCTTCCGAGGAGTGGCTGGTGGGTTTGAACCGCCACCTTCTGGTTCGCAGTCAAGTGCCTTAGGCACTATACTACCAGAGCTCCTTCCCCTAGAGCTAGCACCCTGAATTTGGACTTCTAGCCTCCTAAATTCTGGAAAAAAAAAACTGTTCATTAAAGTTACCTACTTGTGCTATTTCTGTTATAACAGTAGTAGATAACTAAGACAGAGACCTTGTACTAGACTTTGAGAGTTGAGAGTACTAAACATACTGAGAGCATTTTCAAGACTAACCTCTCACTTGAGGTCTCATAGGAGAACTGCAGCTCTTCCCTAATGCACAGGTAAAGCAAGAACAGTCACTTGCAAACCTGAACATTGGGCTGTCAGAATTTTGAGCATGTGAAAACCTAACCTTTCATGCAGCATAAGGTGATGTTAAGAGGTTGTGGGACTCTAGAGTCAAGACAGGCCAAATTTCCAATCCTGGCTCTACCATATATGAGCTATGCTATGTGGATAAATTCTACAACTTCTCGAAGCCCCTTCAGTTTCCTCTTTTTTAGAATCAGATAATATATAAGCTATTTCATAGGGATGTGGTAAGGATTAAATTCACTAATCCATTTAACTCACATGGAACAGTGCTTGGCTCATGATAACCATTCAAAAAATGTTAATTGCTGCTGTTGTCATCACCATCATAATTATGGTTATTAGTATTTTTATTAGTCTATTAACTGTAGAACAGAATTCAATGTAGAGCATTAAGGAGGTTCAGCTTGGACCTCTTCAGGAAGGGTGTGGTTTCTGGCATGCCTCAGTGATCTGACCTCAAGAGGCTACCACCTGATTTTGAGGAGTGTGATACATAAAGAGCCTCTGTGGTGTTTCCAAATGCATCACTGCAAAAATTATCTTTTACAGAGTACATGAAAAAGCAAAAGTTTTGCAGAAAGGTGATTCAGATTTGGATAAAAGAAGCCTGCCTCTTTAAATGGCTAGGACATGTATTAAGTGGAGTATCTGGGGACTGATTAACTGTTTGGTAGGGCATGATTGTTTCAGATTCTTGAGCCAACACATTGGAGATGGACAGCTAACCCTTGGAGGCCAAGGCTTTGATGTCTGCAGGACAGTGAAAATGTTAATATGATCCCAGTGACAACAGTTCAAGCACTAGGAATCTCCTCTTTCTCTATCCTCTTCACTACCTTCTTCTCCCACAATATCCTGACAAATACAAGTACCCTTACTTCAAATGAATTATGGATGGAAAATGTAAATGAAAAATTGAGTCCCAAAGTCTTGCTTTGTTCTGGCAAAGGTTGTGAGCTGTTTAAACTAGGCGTCTTATAATTGCAAATCAGGCAGGAACCCAGTCACTCGAACCAGGCATGCTGGCTAACCAGTCCAATTCCTAACTCTAGCTTATTCTCAGAAAATCTGTGACTAAGAGGGAAATGAAGACAAGAGTCACTCAGCCTACTGGAACAAGGCACATTATACAGAATCCAGCATTCATGTTCTAAGGAATGCTTCCTTGCCCAGGGTTGAGTAGTAGTTCAAGGGAACCATTACTCATTACCCCTTCCCTTCCATGGCATTGGGAATGTAGGTGGTTATGAAATCAGACTAGGCTCTTAAAGCTAAGACTAGCAGCTAAAGCTGGAGAATGGTAGAAATGCCTCAGAGCCAGGCCAGTAGTACCTCCCACAATTAGTGGGAGGCTTTGAAAATTGGAGCAGTAGTGATCTCAACCTTAGTGAAAATATACCAGTAAGCTATCATCCAACCCAGCAGAGGTGCTAGTGATGAGAAAAAGAAATAAAATGCTGATTTCATTCAGCTTTTTGGGAATGCCTTATTCACTGCCTGGGTGAGTCCCCATATGACTGTTACCCCAACTAGCATGATTGGAGTGACCTTTGAAAGACATTTATTTTTTCTGTTTGCCTTTTTTCTTCCAGAACGGGAATGTGCTTTGCAGCCGAATCAGATGTCCAAGCCTTCATTGCCTCTCTCCTGTGCATGTTCCTCATCTGTGCTGCCCTCGCTGCACAGGTAAACCAAATCAACTCTTTCTTTCTCAGCTGGGGTTCCCTTTCCTCCCTTTTCACCACTCCTTCTCCCTAAATCCCCATAAGGGAAACTTCCAGACAGAAATAACAATAGGACACTTTTAGGCAACCCAAACTGGCCCCTAAATACTGTTTATAGCCCAGGCAGGGCACATTCTAGGCTCTAATAAGTTATTGAGTACCCAGTAACAGATTTTCATTGGGCTTTTAATCATTTGAAGGTGAATGTCAATTGGGGGAAGGGAATTGTGCCTCAGAGATTTTCTGCCATAAGCAGAAAGGAAGCTATAGGTGGCACCAAGGAAGCTATAACATGGCAGCATGTACCCGATCCAATTAATGCTGGAATTCCGTCTGAGCATAGCTTCTAAATGATGAGGGACTATTCATAATTCAAAGGAACTGAACCAGTAAGGTTTATGACAGTATAAAGCTGCCTGACTGCAGTATAGCCGCCTCCTCTAGACTGTATCCTTATTATGTACACATTGTTAAGAGCAACTCTAAGGGGGAGCCAGACAGAGACTTTTTCACAAGGCTATTACAATGTCTACTTTCAAGTTTTGTGGCTGGAGTGTTTGTCTGAGGCAATGGCTCCCTCAATGACACTTTGTTCACATTTGACTGGAGCCTGGCTCTCACACCAAAGGTGTGTGAGCATGGAATAACTCATGGGATGCCTGTGAGCCCAACAGCAGTCCTAAGAAAAGCTAAGTGACAGTCTTGGGCTCAAGAAAGTAGAAGCTTTAAAGTCTAGGAAGTCAATTCTATTTTACTTTAGGATGGGAGTTTTAGACTTGGGGTGCATTGGTGGGCTTTAGGGGGTCAGTGAGCTCTTTAAAATTGTTTGCAGTATTTGGTGTAAATATGTATACATGCAAGTTTCCATAGAGGATCCATAAATTTATTGGTATTCCTAAAAGAGCATACATAACTCCAAAAAGGTGAAAAATTACTGGTCTAGGATGCAGGTGGTGCTTGTTTTAAGCAGTGAGGAACCTCCAGGGCTTAGAAGAGAGGAACCAAAAGTGCTTGGAAAAAAAATTGTAGGAATAAAGTTCAGTGAAAGCTCAGTTAACTGAAATGTTTCATGCATGGATTTTTTGTTTAATGAAGAAACCTCCAAATCCATTTTATCACTAGCTTTATATTGGTTTAGTAAATTTTTCTGAATCATAAATACACTATAGTAAGCATAGAGGTCTCTTTCTCAGATGGCAAAAGATCATGCCATATCACAGGTTTATCATTCCAAGTATTGGTGATGATGATATATGGTTTAAAATAATATGTGCTCAAAGAGATTGATTGAGCATATGACCAACCTAAAAGTTATTTTTTTGGAATGAATCCCTAAGCGTGTCTTACTATTTTTCTGTATGTTTATTTACTACTTCTACTTAAAGTGAACTACAAGAGTGTGGTATGGGAAGGGGTCTGGTAAATAGAAATAAAGTTTCTGATAATTGGGTTACTTTGGAGAGCTTAAAACAAAACAAAACAAAACAAAAACTTGCCTAGTACCCTGCTGTTTTTGCTAACCAAAAGGTCAGGAGTTCTAACAAAATAGTAGCTTCGTAGAAGAAGGATGAGATATTCTGCTTCTGTAAAGATGGACAGCCTTGGAAACCCTGTGGGGCACTTCTGCTCCATCCTATAGGGTCACTATAAGTTGGAATCGACTTGATGGCAGTGGTTTAGTACACTGTCAAAAGGTCTTATCAAAGCTTTCTTTCCAAGAATTCCCTAAATGTGATTTAATGTTATAGGAACTTGTGTAAACTAAAACAAAACTGTTCTTCCCTGGGAAGGAAGTTAAGGCATGACTGGGAAAAGGAATATAGAGAGGAAGTATGGATGTCATCTACCTTAGCTGCCTAACAGGAGGCAAGTATTGGAGAAAAGGTAAAGTATAAGCTAGAAGTTATTTTGAGAGAAAAAAGTGTTAAAATAATTGAGACCATAAATCCCAGAAAACAGATGATTGAAATAAATAAATAAACACCAATGTCTTTAAGTTTGAAAAGCTCATTGCATAGGGTATAGAACTCAGCTATTCATTTCTTTTTCTTCATGTTCTTGCAACTGACTTGTCTGTGAGTACATTTTTCTTCTTGTTAACTATAAGCTTCGATACCACTTTCTGTGACTAGTATTAAAGTTTCCTTTTATGCAAAAACGTTGCTATTTTGCCCTCATTCTTTAATGATAGCTTGGCTAGGTATAAAAATTTAGGTGTGTGTTTATTTTCCCTCAGTACTGAAGATACTACTTTATGGTTTGTTGACCTCTTTTGTTTGCTAGTAAAAAGTCTGAGGTTTTATTGTAGTTCTTTTGTATGTAATAGTTTTTCTATCTTTTAAGATTTGCTTTGATGCACTTTAGTTTCACATTGAGGTATCAACTCACTGTCGTCAAGTCAATTCTGACTCATAGCGATCCCTTTTTGGGTTTCCAAGGTGGTATGTCTATGGAAGTAGATTGTCCAGTCTTCCTCTCAAGGAGTGGCTGGTGGGTTTGAACCGCCAGTCTTCTGGTTAGCAGTCAAATGCCTTAGGCACTACACCACCAGAGATCCCCCACTGATAAATAAATAAATAAATAAATAAATAAATAAATAAATAAATAATTTAACTTATTTTATTTTTTCTTTTATTGTGGTGAAAATGTATACACCAAACATCTACCAACAACTTCTACATTTATAACTCAATGATATTGATAGCACTTTTCATGTTATGCTATTATTATCACTATCCTCATCCTAAACATTCCACCACCATTAACATAAATTCAGTGACTCCCAAACAAAAACTCCATCTGTACCACTCCCCACAAAAAAAAAACCCTCAAAAAACCAAGACCAAACTCACTGCTGTCGAGTCGGATCTGACTCATAGCGACCCCTCCTTGGGTTTCTGAGGCGATGTCACTATAGAAAGAGATTGCTCAACCTTCCTTCCGAGCAGTGGCTGGTGGGTTTGAACCACCAGCTTTCTAGTTAGCAGTCCAATGCCTTAGGCAGTACGCCATCAGAGTAACTATTAATAATCTTTGCTTTCTCTGTATTTCCTTATTTCATTTAAGTGAGATCATACAGTATTTGTCATTGTGCAACTGACTTATTTCACTCAGAATAATGTTTTCAGGATTCACCCATGTTGTGGCATGCATCAGAGCTTTATTCCCCTTTACAGCAGCATAATATTCCATTGTATGTATGTACCCCATTTTGCTTATCCATTCATCTGTTGACAGACATTTCAGTTGTTTCCACCTTTTGACTATTGTAAAACGTACTGCAATAAACATTGGTGTACAAGTTTTTGTATGCATTCCTGCCTTTACTACTCCTGGGTATATACCTAGGATTGTGATTGCTGTGTCATATGGTAATTCATGTTCAATTTTTTAGTGCAATTTATTTTTATTTCTCCAGCACAGTGCATGATATTTTCTACCTAAGGATACAAATCTCATCTCAATTGTAATCATTATTTTGTGAAGATTACATCTCTCATTTTATCTTTTGCATCATTCTCAAAGTTGCATTTGGCATATGTTACTGCATCTCATTTGATTCATTACCCATGTCTCTTGATGTCTTCTTTATTTTCTTTTTCATGTTGGTATATTTTCCATAATGATATTTTGCTTCAGTTCTGTTCCCAATTCATGATTTTTTTTCTCTGTGAAAAACATGCTTACTGTTTAAGACATCTGTTGAATTTTGTTTGTTGTTTATTTCCAATGAATATGTTTTCCTTCAAGTTTTTTATTAGATTCTTTTTATATCTACATGTTAGTGTTTCATAAACTTCTGCTCTTCTTTCTTGGGACCTTGTTCACCTCTTTATTTCTTTAAAGTACTTAAATTTTTATTAAAAGTCTTTCTCAGATTGTTCAAATATTTATATTGTTCAGGTGTGAATTCTCACTTTTGTTGGGTTTCTTGACAGTTTTTCTTAGTTCTGAATTTCCTTTTTCTTTCTGAAATTTTTATTTGAGAACTCATCATCCAAGGGGTTCTGTCTTACATGAGGCCTTTCTTGTTTCAGGACTTACAGTTTACTCCACTCTAAAACAAGTTGTATATTAGTGTCTCAGCTTGGCCTTTCTCATGCCTGGATGGTCTATTTCTACCTTTATTTTCTTGTATAGAGTACATCCTGGATATTGATCTTGGGTCAGGATCTAAGCTGCAGCTACCTACCTTGGGCAAACAGTGAGTTGCAGATAACAGCCCTAGGTGGACTGAGCTATGTCATCTCCTGTTTATAGGTGAGGAGTGTAACTCTAATCATCAGCTTCACATGGGAAGCCTTCACAGGATGTAGCACCTGCTCAGCTGTCTGGCCCCAACTCTTTCTATACAGACCTAGCTGTAGTGACCATAGGCATTTATTATTGTACTTTCCTTCTATGTTTTATTCCAAAAGAGTTCTGAACATTTTGCAGTTTTGAAGTGTTATTTTATTTCAGTTTTCACATTTTATCTATCTTTCTTCTTTGTTTAGACCAGGGAATTTTCTTTGCCATAGTGCCTAAGGCATTTGACTGCTAACCAGAAGGTTGGCAATTCAAACTCACCAGCTACTCCATGGAAAGAAGATTGGACAATCTACTTCATAAGATTTACTGCCTTGGAAACCCAAAGGGGGTCACTATGAGTCAGAATCGACTTGATGGCTGTGAGGTTTTTTTTTTTCTGGTTTATATTGGAACAAAATGCAAGTAGATATATTTTTATTTCTGTTGAAGATAAAACAGAAGAATGGAGTTTGATAGAAGGGAGAAATTTGGGAAGTAGTACTTGTAAAATTCTAAAATAAATGACTAAGGAGAATTGTAGCTCCTTACTGGATATATGTGGAAATAAAAATTACTCACCCATCTGAGACAGGGTTGCCACAGTCTTGCTTTGAGACAAGGTAATGGATGCAATGACTGTGTATTCCTTTCACCCCAGTGATTATTAGGCAC